ACAAAGATTATAAGTCATCACAGTTATACTGAATGAGCAGAGAAATCAGTCGGCGAGACCAACAACATCCAGTCAACCATCCTCCTAATAACGTGGTTTTGTTTGTTTCTGGCCAAAAGAAGGAGTTTCTGTGACGTTCATTCCAAACCTGCAAATATTCGAGATTCATTARGAGAACAAAATGAACGAGCGATGAAGATGTTATTAAAAACAAACACTGCATATTGTTGTGTTTATTGCAGTCTGACAGATGATTTAATGAAACGCAGTAATAAAAAAACAGGGTGGGACACTGTGGCTCCATTTGATGAAGATTGTATCAAAGTGGCTGCATTATGAGCATTTAGAAAAACCTCATTGCCTTTTCTGAACAGCTCATATTGATATAATCTATTTAATGTAACTCCATACAGGGCGACAAGTATAAAATAAAACGTTAAAGAAGTCTCTAAAACATTTTCATTATTTAACTCATTATCTGAATGTAAAAATCCACTAATACTTTATTATTTAGCTCACTGTTCTTACATTTTGCTAATTTTTACTAAATGTTAAATTCAAATAATCCTACACATGATAATAAACTGTGGATAAATGATGAAGTTTACATTTAAGTATTTCGGAAAGAAACACAGCCTTTGCTGTACTCAGCTCTTGTTAGGGCGTCATTATTCCTGAGACACAAGTAGCTAAATGCTAACCACTGCTAACACTGTTAAAAAAATGGCATTTAAAACTTAAAATCAAAATGTTTCCGTTGTAAAACTATGTGGGTGGTAACTGTGGTCCGGCAATTTGACACCCTCCTGACACCGGCTGTATCTGCAAGTTTGATGTTTTGTCGGGCAGTGTTAGCAGAGTTAGCAGTGTTAGCAATGTTAGCAGTGGTTAGCAATGTTAGCAGTGTTAGGAATGTTAGCAGTGGTTAGCATTTTTTTGTCTCAGGATGATGCAATAATAACTATAGGAATGCACCAAAATGAAAATTTCAGCCGATATAAATATCCGATATTAATATTGCTGTTATGGCTGATAACCAATATTTACTGTTATTACATATACATATACGCACAAGCACACTGGTGTCTTTTTAATACCGTAAAAAAAGACCAGACCACTGACTGGTTCTCTGGTTCAGTTAGTACTGACCGTGCAGAGTCTATTAGATCAGATACAGCTCCATTTTCCCTCCCAAAACAGAAACACAAACAGCAACAAGCGAGAAATCAATATATGACCTGAATATCGACCCAGTTTTACTTATCGGGCTCATACCAATTGATAGATATTTTTAAAACTTTATCATTTTTTATATTTGATCCTGTTGCATCAATCAACTGTATTAAATGTCTTTCTTTGCTGCCATAATTTTCATCTCTGCAGCTGCAGAGACTGATAAGAAGCAACCCTGTGATTGGTCAAGATGTTTCTCTCTGTGCTCTGCTTGTAATAAATTGTACAGATTTTCCCAGCCAAGGTCAGAACTTTCTGCTGAGACCCGTCTTTTAGCGTCCTCAGAAACTTCTCACTCTTTGCAAAGAGAAAACTGTTTTAAAACTGAATGCTTAAGTCTCTGTCTGGTTTATTTCTTTTTAAGGGGTAATTTAATGTCAACTCTGACACCAATATGCTAAAAAAAATGCAATGGCTGATACTGATGTTAATGTCGATATATTATGCATCCCTTATAATAACATGATAGTTTAAACTAAGAAATTGTACCATTTTTGAAAAAAAAAAAAAACAATTGTGAAATTGACAGCAGCTTACCTCAAAAAACTGAGACTTAAAAAAAATCTGAGAGACTGAGATATTCATCCTCTCTGAAATGTTATTTTTATACCCAGTCTGCTTTCCGACCTGTTACCAGTTAACGTGATTAGTTACAAAATGCTCCGCCAGCTGTTTCTTATTTACTTTTACAAGACTTGCCCTGTTTGTTTTTAAAATGTGCTACTGCCACAAAATTTAAAAATACCTTTTTTCCCTTGCATTTTTATTCTTTATATTGAAGTCTCTACTTTATAAGACAACATGACTGATGTGAGTAAATTAGCGGTGGAGTTACAGCCCCCACACCTGCTACAACTCGCCCATTTGTCTGTTCGCCTTGCTTCCCCCACTGACCACTGCTTTAATGACACCTTCCTGAGCAGCAGCACTTACAGCTGAGTTGTCAGGTTGTCAGAAAGAGACACCCCACCAGCTCTGCCAGGACACACAGCCCTGCTTCACCTGGCAGCCCACTGAGAACCTGGGCAGCGTCTAACTCTTCTTTCCTTTGAGGATTTGCAAACACAGACCACAGGAATCCAGCTGATGAGCCAAAATATAAAATAAATTTTAAAAAATAAGCAGCAAGAGAGACACGAGTGTGGTTCTCTGAGTACAACAGCTGATCACAACCACATTTTGGCAGGGACTGGTTTCATTGGGCTTGTTCCTCTTTTTCACCATGTTTTGGTTGTGTCACTTGTTGGTGGTTGGGGGGTGGGGGTGAGACAACGTTTGTAACGAGGGCTGCAGGGCTGTGGAGGGTTGTTGCCACCAATCTTTTGTCACTCATGCATAAAGCTTGTTTGCTCGGAGGTGCAAGCCGTTCTACTGATTTAGCATGACCGAAACATTGTGCAGGCTCGGCTCCTCTTGGCACTGAACAAGCGCTCCCCTTTTCTGCACAGACACAGGAGTAAACATGGGGGGGCTGCCTCACACATTCAGGCATTCTGGGCATACCACAAGGCCTCTGGAGAGTTGGTCCATTCACACACACACACACACACACACACACACACACACACACACACACACACTGAAAGAGGGCAGAACACTGCTGGACATGTGGCTCTGTCAGCATGTTTGAGCTCAGCCAACTTCTGAGGTAATCTTGCATTAAAAGTGAAAAAAAAAATCCTCCTGAATGTCCTTTAAACTGCAGCTAAAACAAAATTAAAAGTGCATTAATATATGATTAAAGGTCTACTAATCTCTAGAAGAATGCACGTCACCTTTAACATATAATAACGTCAACATGCAATGATTTTGAGCAATGTGTTGCCTGCCAAAATAGCTGTCTTGTGGTTTTTTTTCTGAAGTTGTTAGTGCTTAGATTAAAAGTTGGGCATTARGCTCAGCTACCACCACACCATTTTAGCTAAATATCTGCTAAATTTACTGATTCATAGCGTTTTTGCCTGCTGAGAAGTATTTAGTGAAGAGGCCATCTTTAATCAGTCAACTCCAAAATGTATTCAGCTAAAGGAGTCGAACCAGTGTTTATTTTTTTGAAAGTTTCATTACAATCTGTTCTGTAATTCATGAGATGTTTTTGCTAACAGACAGMCAAATATGATCATTTTAAAGACCAAGAAAACATACTAAAAACCCTTAAATATATGCAGCATGTCCAATATTATTAAAGCTTTTACAATTGTTTTTTTTTTTTTTAAGATTTCATTAGGAACTAAAACAAATGCACTTGATTTTCACTGTGGATCAGTCACTTTATGGGACGTCCTGTGTACTGGGCAGAGGTGTCAAAAGTATTCACATTCATTACTTAAGTAGAAGTATAGATACTAGGGTTTAAAAATACTTTTTTGGAAGTAGAAGTCTCAAGTCAAGCTTTTTACTCAAGAAAAAGTATAAAAGTACTGGTTTTGAAACTACTTGAAGTATGAAAATAAAAGTAATGAACACTTTAAAAAGCCATTCAGGATGAAAGCTTTTTTATTTGAAAATAGATATTTTAATATTTAGCAGCCAATCTG